GTAGTTTATACATATATTACCTACAAATCAAATATAATTAATAGTCTATAGCACTCAAGAATATTGTAACTATCTATCGGTGAAAGAATTTTGAAAATCCGACCAGCGGTTCTAAACATTAAGCCCTAAATAAAAACTTGCAAATATTTCCTCTTTATTAATAGTATAGAAAACCATCTGTCAATCAACCCTAGCCACAAACTTCCTAGTATTAACATCAAATTAGATCAAATCCATGACAAAACCCCCTAATAACTTCTAACCAATGTATTGATACCAAATTAGTATTAATTTTTGTGATCAAAATTTTATATATCACGTTATGACCATTAGCAAATTATAATAACTATTTGGCGGCAAAATCGTGAGTGGTGATTAACATATGTATGACAATTATGTAAGTTTCTGCCGTATCATGATGAGAAACCGTGTACCTACTCCTTTTTGGACGGATGGGTGGAAGGGGAGGGGAGTGCTAAATATGTTAGTTCCTCCGTCATATTAAGCATGCACTGAATAGGCTTAAATTAGGTAAACTTTTTATTGGAAAAATATTTGTCCTATAATCCAAATACTGGATCTAAAGTCGTCACGACTTCAATTACTTATGTTGAAAAAGTGACAGAGCTCAGCTCATAGGTAAAAATTGTTCTAGGTACGTCTAAGGCATCGTCACCAAATGAAACCTCGGTTAAGTGCAGTAAGGTTTTTAGGGATTTGTCCCCTAAAAAAAAGTCCAAATCAAGTCTTTAAGAAAAAACTTCCGCACGCACCTTTAATATAGAAACGTAATTCTTGATAGAAATACCTACACGTATCTATTATATATAACAGTTTACACAAAAAAAATAGAATTATAGGGTCAAAAGAAGTACCTCTCTGGAGTCTGGACTCTGAATGCTACAAATAAGCACCCTATCTTTACTCTATACAGAATGTTATTCAACTTTTTCCTTTCTTGAAATATGGTCTTTTCATATGACACACAATATGATGTTTTCTTGTGTCGAGGTTGTGTTTACGACTATACAACTTCACGTAGGTACACAAACATATCCAGACCACAAACAAAAATAAGTGGATTACTGTGTGAGTGAGGTTACTGGAGGCCCAATCCCCTTCCCTTTCCGATCCTTATATCCGCAACCCCTATCCCCAAAAGGCCGGCAATGCACTCGTAACTCCTTTGGTGTTGCTGGTGTCCATGGGCGGCGCTGATTGCTGACCTTCAGGTAATCCGTCCGCTCGTTTGCCGACTTATATACCATAAAAAAAACTCAAAGAATTGTTCCGTGCCAGCCACCGATCCTGCTATACATTGCACAGGATCCGCTTGTCCAGCCATACCGCCGTCCCTGCAGCGTCAACTACCTAAAACTAATATAAAGGAACAGTCCGCCATTTTCCGCATCGTCATCATCTGATGACTGATGATGAATGATAAATATTACTATGGAATCTTTGTGGGAACACATAGGTGTGTGTACATGTACATGAATAGAACAAATACATAAAGTAGGTATACCTACATCGTAAACGCTAGAAACACATTACTTAATATGTAGGTACTGTATGTATAACAGTCACACACAACATTATAAACTTTTTGCAAACGCAAAACCTCTTTAAACACAAACTACCAGTTTTAAAAATCTAAGTTAAAGGCACTCGCATCCCCAACGTTCTTTTTACTGGTCAGAGACGAAGGTCCTTTTTTGAGGGGACAAAATCATCAAATGGCTTCATTGGTTTGGCTTTGGCTATGACTAAATACCACGCCGTACCTTCTTCTTCTCCGAGCTGAGGCCCCGGTACATTGTTATGCTGCCCCACACAATCCGAGCTCGACATCGGCCCTATTAGACTGCATCTATGGTGAAATGATGAATCTGCGCACGCGCCCATTTGTTTGGTTAGGCGGCGACCTATCCTTGCTCGCTGTAGCCTTTTTTCGTGAGGGGAAAATCGTCAAATGCCTCGCCCAGGGTGAGGCGAGAGGGAGTGACATACTTCTCCTACTTTAAGCCGAGGCTGCGGCACCTTATCTCGTAAGCCCCGCAAGCCCAGGTCAGGCTTGCCATAACCGCCACTAAAAATAAGGGTAAGTACGTTGTGGCTTTATAGATAAAATCAGCAAAAATGTAGATATTCGAAATTCAAAATAGGTTCAATTTGGCCTTTGAAATGCTCATTATTCAACAGCATTCACATAACAACGACGGCAATTTTAAAGTAACAAAAGAAAGTTCCAAAATCTTTTTTTTTTTTCTTTAATTCCTAGGTGTTTTGCAATGATCACAAATGGACATGAATTCTATGTCAAGAATACTACAATACAGCAAGTAAGTATGTACCTTTCTACATAGAATATAGATTGTAAACGATTATCAGTTGTTTGATAAAAGTGGCAGGCTCTGTGACACTTAAGTGTGATTTATTTATCAGCTACCTACTTATCTCAGCTACTATTGTCACTACACATCACTGAATAATAAGTATTAGATAGATATCCTTACTCTTCCACAGTTCGTGACAGTCCAATGTTGGATTAAGCCGATGAATGTCGGTAAATAAGACGCAATACCAATTTTTAAGCTAGCATCAACCATTATATTGTTACAGCGGTAGTACCGAATCGATACGACGTCCTGCAAACCTTCAAGAAATGAGCATACTACTTCTTAAAAGGCCTCGAAATGAGCGGACTCTTCTGGTGTTGCCGGTGTCCATGGGTGGCGCCGATCGCTTACCATGATGTGCTGCATATGTTCGTTTGCCTGCTATTCCAAAAAAAAACAGTAGAAAATACGTACGTCTCAAACACACGAATGATTAATAAAGAGTTCTTCTACATAATATCGATCATGTTTCCTTGTCCAACTCTGGGGTTATTTTAAGAGTGAAGTATAATTAAATTCCTTCTCTCACCTATGGTAAAGCAAGAGGGATTGCCAGACTCCTACCTACTATCTAAAACCACCCCGTTAATTCTTATGCAGCAGGACGAGACTTCGATACTTTAATGCGTTTTCCCCGCAACCTATCTAGTCTATCACTGGTGCCGTAACATTATTATTGTTGATACTTGCTTAAAACTATTGGTACCTATTGGCAACTACTTACAATAGGTATATGTATTTTCTAGTCGACCCTACTAAGTGTGGGAGAGCCATGCTTTTTTTTATGTAATAGTTCGGTAAACGAGCAGTTCCCTCTGCTTGCTCACTTGCCGTCCTCTCGTATAAAAAAATACTGCTATTTTTGAATTATTTATACATTTGTATAAGTATTAGTAACTTTACCTTTTATTTTGTTCTTTGAAAAATAAATATTTTAATTTATCCATGCTAAGGACTGGGTTAACAAACAATTTTGACTCTGAGTACGGCGGTATAAGATTGAAGTTTATCTGAGAACGTTCCTTCCCGGGCTTTTTTTGCGAAGAAGATAGCTTAACAAGCTTCCTCAATCTGTCAAATTCATTGAGATAAAAAAAAGGTCAAATTAGTTTCACAGATTATAATAATTTATCAAATCCCAAGCGAAAGCCGGCGTTCGCTCATCTATTGTGTCTCGCATTACTACGGTTGAAAGGTTTAATTAAATTAGCTAAATAAAACACTATTTACATTTATTGACAGCCGAAGGGGTAGAGTACATAAAGGAACATCATACTTAAATTCATCTAGTTTTTCACATATAATTTGACGTGTAAAAGTGCCGTTTTATGGCCTATTTGCAAAAATAAATTCATTGTTTCATTGAAATAATAGTCATAAATAGTCATAATACGCAAGTAATACTTGTGAGTTTCGTGTAAAAAGCAATACAAACTTTACACAGAAATGAACTTCGATATGTTTATTATTTTGCCCACCTGTCTGGATCAAAGGGCGTGTTATGATTATTGCTAATTTTGTGATGTGGTACGTAGCTCCATCTTTTGTTATTTCATGATAACATAATCCCTCCCTACATAGTTACTTACAAAAGATGTCGCTATTACAAAATCGATTCAAATTTGTTGTAAAGATTCTTTGCAGCATTTTAATAATTTAGAAAGAAAAATAAATAGGTATATTTTTTTTTTTTTTTTTTTTTTTTTTTTTTTTTTTTTTTTTTTTTTAAAAAAAACGTTGCCCCACAATAGGATTTTCTCCTGTGTCGTGGGTGCGTTTACAAACATACAAATTCACATGCACATATCACACCCAGACCCGGAACAACAATCTGTGGATCACACAAAGAGTTGTTCCGTGCGGGAATCGAACCCGCGACACGTTGCGCAGCAGCCAGTTGCCCAGCCACCGCGCCAACCGTGCAGTCATATTAGATACTTTTATAGTGTCTATACCATGTGTAACACTTGAGTCACCCTTAGCTACCTTCTGCGTACAATATTTTGCCGCGTAGTCAATATCTTTATTGCAATACCTGTATTTTGGTTGAAAAAATATTAATTACCTAATCTATAATTTATTTTACTGAAACCATATTTTAGTGTAGGTAATTAAAACATAAAAATATCTAGAATTAGTTTAGGTACTCCACGCTCGATGCATGTTGTTCAGAGTGGCAAGTAGCACCATCTTTTAACATGTTTTACTAACTATGTTCGTGAACAGACAAAAATACAGATTTTTATAATTGACTTTGAAATTTAACGTATCCATTTTATACAGGAATGAATACCAAATTTTTCGTTGTAATAAATAATTTAATGAAATGAAAACATACACAGACAACGATGATGTCAATAAAAAAAATACTATAGAACGTAACTGGCAGACAAAAACCGGAATAGTATTTATTTTAAATTAATTTATAAAATTCTTTACAATTATTCCAACAATAATAATAAAGTATAAATGCAATCAAAAACATATGTTAAAGTTTAAAATTGTATTTTGTGAAAATATTAAAAACCGTTATTTTCAGTTATTGACTAAAAAGCCAAAGGCACATAAATTGCAAACAACTTTTTTAATGTCTATGGTACACAAAGCTGGCGTGGCCCCATTGACATTTCATTATCGCGTCGCCATTTTGCGTTGCTTTTTCCTTTGCAAACTGTGTGGCTTATTGAATTTGTACCACAAAATAATAATTGTTTTTGTTATAGCGAAGCTGTGATTGTTAGTAATTAAGTAGTGTAATATATCTTATTGTTTTTAACTTATTTTATTCTAAGTTTCGTGTATTTTACGTTACAATGGGCAGAAAGAAGAAGAAGGCATCTAAACCATGGTGCTGGTATCCTTTTCCAATATAAATACTAAATGGATTACGAAATTAGATTTGTTCACGACCTTCATATTTAGGTCAAATGTTAATTTAAATTGATGATGTAGCCAATCAGATAAGTTTCCTTAGCAAAAGTACAGGTACTGCAACAGGGAGTTCGACGACGAAAAGATTCTCATTCAACATCAAAAGGCGAAGCATTTCAAATGTCACATTTGTCACAAGAAACTGTACACGGGACCTGGATTGTCAATACACTGCATGCAGGTATGTGCGTCAGTGCCACAGTTTTGGCATCCGCCTCGCCCGCCCACGGCCAACGCGCGCTCGCTTTTTTTAACTCGCATACATATAACTATCTATACATATTTTGGCGTGACTTACGGGCCCAATTCTGCTCCCATAGTAGTACTACACAAAATGTCCTTCCCTATTTTCACTTGGGTGGGTGAATTTATTGAAAAAGTGTTTCTAAATTTGTAAATAGAACAAATAACATCAATATTTTCATTTCTGTTACAGGTTCACAAAGAAGCCATAGATAAAGTACCAAATTCATTACCAAATAGGTCAAATATAGAAATAGAAATCTATGGTATGGAAGGTATACCACCTGAAGATGTGAAGGAGCATGAGAAACAAAAATCAGGTATAAAAAGTTTTTATATTTGGCCGCCAAACTGAACCACTTTGGATTGATGTATGTACTTATTTCATTACTATGCTTGGGACACTAGATATTAATGTAAATAGGTGTGTAGTTTGTTTCAATGTTCCAACATAAGGTAGGTAGTGGAGCTTATAAGTGTGAGGACATTATTGTAAGGTTCAATTTGTACAGGTGGTGGTAAAGGATCAGATAGTGACGATGATGAGCCTGCTGCAAAGAAAAAAGCAACGCCTGCACTGGTAAGTTACAATTTTCTTACTATATTAAATAATACATTCTCCAAAAATAATGTATCAATATATAATATTCAAAACCGAATCAAGAGTTTTATTATTTTTGATATATCAGATATTTATCTTAAGAATAAACTTTTTTATCATTAAGATAAGTGTGTAAGTCCCCTCCTATATTGTTGTTTTTGTTTTCAGCTTGGCCCTGGTCCTTCACAAGTGACCCCAGGCATTTTACCCACACCCATGGGACCAGTACCTCCGGGGATGTATCCAGGACACATGCAAATGCAAATGATGCCGCCATTTATGCAGGCACCTAGGTAAGTCACCAATTTTAAATGGTTATAACTTTGTTTAGGAAGATAGATCTTACCATAGATTTTGATAAACAACAATATACAAGATATATTGTTGTTTATCAATGTTTTTTATAAAGAGACGAGGCAGATATCTACCACATACAATAAAAAAAACACAGATTCCACATTGAATTATTTAATTTATAGAACTAAAATATTTTATCTTATTGGCAACTATTTCAGTAGATTTTGAAAGAAGAATCATATAATATAAATAATTAATTAGATTACAGTATATCAAAGCCTTTTTCAATCTAATCACACAGATAATGCTCCAAATAATGTAATTTACATAGATATTGATATTATGATCATGATATACACAACAATAACAAAGCAGGTTTCTCTATACATGTATATGCAAGTTGCATGCTACATAACTATGTTGCTAACCTTGCCCTGTTGTGATATTAAGGTCATTAGATACATGTATTGTATTATTTCACTACTAGTAGTTCAAGCCTTTGTGGTTTCACTTAAATTTTCTTCTCTAAGTTTCTCATTCGGCTTTGATATCTGTTTTTAGATTTGACTAGTTAGAAGATATTTATTTTGTTTAGTATTTTACTACTATAGCTGCCAAATTACGGAAAAATGAGATAGGTTCTTAATTTTTAATTGTTAATTCTTTTTATTCTGTCAATTATATTGTTCCGTCATATAAATCAACTTATTTTTCATCTATTTGCCAATCAAATAACAGGAATAATAAAATATAAATTATAAAGTAGTCAGTTAATCTGCCTGCCTGTTACTTCACAGTGTATTACAGTTAACTGTTTCAGTTTGACCTACAAACACCAGACATCCATACTTTCACTATTTTTTACTGGTTAAATTGCAGAACACTATAACTTATCGCACTTTATTTATTCATTTTATTTCATACGTAAAGTTAACAATATCGCTATATATTTTTTATTGTTAAGATCTATAAAAGAAGTACAGTCGAAAATACATTTTATTTTTATATTATTATTTCATGACTTTTACTTCTTGGTATCAATCCTCCCTTATTGAAGTCATTCGATGGCCTCAGTATATTGGCAACCGCAAACTAGGAACCCTTGCCGATGGTTTTCGTGCCAGAGCGGCTAGTTCATGACGCGGATTTCCCGCCCTTGCTTGCCCCCTGTTTGTAGGAAGCTTTTGTCATTATGATAATAGTTTTAGTGACGTCATAGATGTTTTTATAATTTATGCCATTCATCATCAAGTCTTTTTCATGTTAACAGATGTTATGTAGAGTGTTGACACTTCTAATGGAGCGGCCTGATCTTCCGCATGGTTGGCAGGTGACATTAGAATCGTCGATAAAGTTGTACGTACATACGCTGATTATATTCTATGAATTACTTTACTATGTAATTCATGAAGACTAATGATGCTGAATGTTGGACACCCGCATATCACTATCACGCTTGGTATCTTTGTCGTAATGTATGGTAAGGCTGCCATCAGACGGATAACGTGATCTTGATGAAACTTTATGCCGTCGGTAACAGTCGCGTAGTTTTTATCGCTGTCAATGCGTTCTGCTGGTAGCTTAATTGGGATATTTTCTCAGTCAAAAGAAAAATCAAAATCTTATGCTGTGTCAAAAATGTCTTTCTTTTGTTTCTTATTTAGTAAGCAAATTATCCTTTTACTTATATTTTGAAAATCTAACAACTTACTAGTAGTTTTGTTTAAAAAAATACTACTTATAACTTGTTGGAAATATCCCAATTGAAACATCAGGAGTAAGAACCTATATTGCTAAGGAAATCAAGTCAAGGTCACATTACTACTGATGCAGTCAACTGTACATTTCGTGAATAATCAATGAACATTCTCAATTAACATTTTAATGTGGGTTTCGACACGTGTTGGCATTTTAATTAGACTTGTATGTACAGAAAAAAGGAAATCATACTTGCAAAGCTAATGTGTAATCTAATTCGCGCACGCAAGGGGCTGTTTATCTCGTTGAAACTGATAATTTGATGCCACGGTGCACGATAATCTAAGCACTGTTTTATTAATATTTTGCTATTGGATTTTGAGCCTTGTGGTATATTACTTATCATTTGAATCATCTGTGTAACCTCTATAAGTCCAATTTTCATCATAATGTTACAAACATGAAACTCATGCCATGCATTTATACTCAGTCGAACATTTTCATAATAAGTCAATGATTAAAAATATCCTGCTCCATATTGCATATGTATACTAAACTTCTACGTGATTGTTTCAGAATGATGATGCCGGGAATGCGGCCGCTTTTCCCCGCAGCCAGTATGCCCCCCACATCGACGAGTAAACCCACGTTCCCAGCGTATAGGTAAGCCCGCTAATTATAACTGACAGCTATTTATAGATACATATATAACACTAATGTTGAACTTCTCAATCTTATGCACGTGTTTACGTGCGCACGTGGTTTGTGTTATACATTTCGAGCTAAACCAATTCAGATTTCAGTCAAAGATTTTCTATTTTATTCTTTTTGTTATAAAGTCGGTAATGCATTGATAAATATTTGTAGTTTAAACACTTTTGTTGATGTATATCAACCTACATACCTGGAGATATTAAGACTATTTTCTATCAACTAATAGTTCTGTCAAAGAGTCATGACATTATCAGCAGCTGCTCAAGGAATTGTGAGATATTTTGGATAAGATAAGTTCGGTTTCCCAATTTACGTAAGCTAGCTGGCATTGGTTGATTTTGTTTCACAATTCCGTCTCTAAAACTGTGAACGAATGTTAGCGTGAACTAACCCAAATACCTTCGTAGCTACAATTCTTTGTGACGACATCCTAACAGTTATTCTAACGAAGATAAATAGTATATTTTAGATACTTTCGATTCAACTTTTCTACCATTCCGACAACGTCACGCAAAAACGGATGCATCTTAAATTCCTAGACTAGCTAGTCAAAATATGTTGGCACCGCTTGTCTGCCAAATCGGAATTCGTTACACACAAAAGCGAAATTTTACATCACTATTATATTCACTAATTACGCTGTTGAATAACGTTGTTATTATATGACTTGTTAAAAGGAGAATAGAATTTTTATTGTTGACAAACTATTATATTTTTTGTTACTTTTTTAAAAAAGTTATGAGGGAATTTGGTATTCATTGGGCCTGTTATGCATAAATATCTCGTTTATGTATCATATTGTCGGAAATATGAGAACAGTCATGTCGCTAGTATGCTAATTAGCAATAAAGTAATTCCTAGCTGAGAACTATGTTGTTTATCTAGCTGAAAATAAATATAAAGATATAACTACAAACGCGTCATTATAACAAGATCTCTAGAACACTAGTTGAAGTCTAGTTAATTCACTGCTCTCGAAACTGACTATTTCTAGACCAGATTCTTCATATGTACTTAGCTGATTTTTGCAGCAAAAAATAATGTTATGAAATTGAACTGAAATCTTTGTCGCCTTCAACCTTAATAAAACAATTTCACAGTAATGCGACAATAAGTGCGCCGCCAACGACGACAACGCCCTCTAGTAGTTCGGATCACAAAGAAAATGGTGAAGTGAAACCTCCCGCGGCTAACGCGTGTCCCTTAGTGACAGCCACTGGGGCTGGCTCAAAAATCATTCATCCGCCTGAAGATGTGTCACTAGAAGAGATCAGGGCCAGAAATATAAAGTACAGAGCGAAGCCTAAACCCGACGCACCCGCCGCACAACCCCAGCCTGCGCCCGCCATGATTACTCCTAGCACGAGTCAAGCAGAGGTATGGGTTAGTGGTTTTTATATTTATTTATATTTATGTTGTTTGAAGCACCCTGTAGACTTCTTATAATGCACCTAACTTGTTCTAAAACTCAATTTTGCTTTGATACATATGACCATACTAAAACAAAATTAAAACTTCTCCTTGTATTCAAACGAAACAATACTAAATTCGCAAGCATTTGTATTCTAACAGCATCCGCGTGGAATCGAGTAAAACATTTTTCTAAGAATAAAGATGCTCAATTGTTTGTTTACGAAACGCGAGCGTTTATGCTTATTTATGTTTGTTGAGTTAGAATGTTTATGTTACAAAAGAAATATGTTTGTCCTATTTCTTAGTACCGTTAAATGCTTGAGTTTTATTTAAATCATTTAGTTCAGAAAAGTATATGGGTTGCCGACAAGACGAGTGGGCTCGCACCGTAGCAATACATGTTTGTGCAGGTGGCGGCGCACATGAACGCGGCGGTGGCGGCGGCGCGGCACCAGCAGGCGGCGGCGGCGCTGCGGCGCGGCGTGCTGGGCGGCATGGGCGGCGGCATGGCGGGCGCCATGGCGGGCGGCATGGGCGTCAACATGCACGGCATGGTGGGCATGCTGCCGGCCGCCGGCATGCGCGTGCCGGTGCCGCACGTGCCGGTGTCGGTGCCGCAGATGGCGCCGGTGGTGCCGATGCTGCCCGTCATGCCGCAGTTCAACCTCGTCCGCCCGCTGCAGCCCGGTCAGTACCCGCCCCCCTACCGCTAGCCCGAGGCGACCCGCCCCGCCACTGACACCAAACGTTTGCAAAATGCCTTATCATACCTCCCCCGAGATACAAAATTACCCACGTCGACTTCGATCTGACTGAATCAAATTCGTAATTTCAGAACGATGATCATCAATGCCCAATGGTGACATTGTGTTCGTAAGGCAATTTACAAACGCCCACGAGTATCCCGAGCGTCTCTCGTGCTCGAAAACTGAGGACATTCTGTGAAGTTTGATAATGTTGAGACATTGTTTAGAGTAATGTTTACATCCCCTTTGGCCATGTTTACGAGTGTTCCATCAAGAGTTATACAAGTGGTGACATGCCGGTAGCTAAGCTCGTAACTGTAACGACTGCTGTCTCCATTTCTTGTCCGTGTTTAAACCTCTGATGTCCTTTCAGATGACCCCCCAATGAACAGTATTACGATGTATTTGTATGGATATGATATTCTAACGTAGGACATATCAAAGTATTAGGTAATTCGTATTGATTATATTCTCGTTGTCTTTGATGTTGCACATTGAACATAAAGTTAAATGTATTTAATTGTAACAAATTGTATTTTTCATGTTGAAATGGTCCAAGGCCGAGACTCGTTGAATTTTTTTTTTTTTGTACAATGTAAACCAAAGAAATGATGTAATGTTAAGGTTAGCTCTAAAGACTGGACATTTAGTACATTCCGATTGAAAACTCACCATAGTCGTCCATATTTTTATATTCGCTTAAAAAATTGACAAAAACACAGTTGACACGAAATGTAGTTGTGTAACACACTATTGGTATTATTTTGCATTTATTGAATTTAAGAATAATATAGAGTGGGTGGTTTTCTTTAGTTTTTAATAATATTTGCTTTACGATAGTTTAGTTTAAGAAGACAGTAAGACATTGTTTTGAATCTTTTTTGTTACACACGCGACGCGTGCCTATATCTGAACGTGGAAAATGGAGTGTCATAATAATTGATAACACAATAAAGAGCATTCACTAGAGTGATTTTATTTTTTCTATTTTCCACGGCTACTGGTATGATCTAATTAAGACATTACTAGCTTTAGTAATTTTGACTGTGTGTAAGGAAAATGATCGCTTATGTTTTAAGAGCGTGGAGCCGTTGTCCACTTAGTTCGCTAAAGTTGGAAGGCATCACAAGACGAGCGGCTGCGGCCTAGTGGTCGGAGGGTGCCTTCCAAAGTCGGTGCCGCGGCCACCAAGTCTCTAGTAACGAACACATAACAGCTTGTCGATACTCACCCCTAACGCCCACTAACACGACCGGCCGACCTCTCACCCCCCTAGTACCGGACCACTCGTCCTAGACTTACACTGTCAAGACTATAACTGTGATTTTGATGTGCCATCCGCACTATCGGAGGACGGAATGAAAATGAGCGGTAATTTTATTCACATTCCTTAATGGATTTGCTTATTGTAGTAGCTCTTATCTTATTACTGTCTCGATTTTCTCGTAGTGTCATATAAAATATGACTGTCGGTTAACGGGTGGGTACACTAATATTATATTTACGTACAGTAGTTTTGTCGCTTTACAATGTGCATGAAAAGAACGAGTTAATAGTCGTTGGCTGAATTGGATTCTACGAGCAACCATTCTCGGATCACACTGAACATGCATGAACTACGGATATTACGATTATTACATCGCCGAGTATTTTGGAAGTGTGATTTTTCATGTGAATTATTTATCCTACCTACCTGTGTTCCTTTGCTTATCTGCACCTTACTGCGGGCGGCCGGCGACGGTTGCGGCGCGGTGACAGGCGATTGTTCTGCAGTCACCACGGCTGGCCGTGTGTTGGACCGAGGTCCCCTGTTGCCACGCGCCGCGGCCGCCCGTGACCGAGACTGTGTGTGCAGGGATGTCTGGGATGTTGCTGCCGGGCGGCGTGATGCCGATGGGCGCCATGTTCCCGGGCGGCATGGTCATGCAGCCGCGCTACCGATAGCCGCGCCGTCCGCGCCGCCCCGCGCCCGCCGAGCGAAGGTAGGCGCTCGTTTCTTTCGTATCTACGTCCGCTTGGCGGTTGTGTGTCCGACGCTCGTTGCTAAGCGCGGTGAGGGGAACTAACGGAAGGTAAGGCGGCGCGAGGCGGACAGGTGATGGGCGGTCGCCCGGCCCCTGGCCGTGGTTGGGCCGGCAGTTCCCTGCGGCGGGCGCCCGCAGGCGACGGAACCTGTCACAACATGAGTTGTTGGATTGGCGGCCCCCTGTCCCTTAGCATAAGTCATTATATTCCTACCTTACCACTGAGCTCTCACATAGACTGTCAAAAGCAGAATTTCTGTAGTGAATTCCGTTCTTAATTAAATTTCTGGTGTTAAGAGATGTGTGTAAGAATAATAATTGAAATAAATGTTATCTGCCTTGATGATTCTCTAAGCGTTTCCATTTTAAAGTTGTGACGTTTGCCTACTCTTGTAGAATTTTGACTATTTTACGCAATAAATGCTCTGGACATGACACCTTGGTTTTATTTCACCTTTGCGTAACGTAGATCCATGTGCTACTGAGGTAACTTAGTTGTTTGTTACAACATTGCATCTGCCTGTATGAATTGAAGCGTAGGTAAGCACGCTTTGTGTTGTAATTTTTTTTTTTTTTGTATTGAATCAATGTTCTTTGTTATTTCACTTTGATTCCCATTATCATAAACTCGTTTATTTCGTAACCAAGTGCATAGGACCACCACCATCAGGGTTGCTTCTAGGAATTGTGTGCGTTTCATTTTAAGCTGCACAAGGAATGCAAATGAGCTATCTGATGACCTGATGGTAAGCAATCAGCGCCGCCCACGCATGAACGGTTTCAAGTGCAACCTCTTACAAGGCGAAACCAAACACGAGCGTTGTTTGTTGTGGTACACAATTTGGTAACAATAACCCCATGATAAAGAGAAAATATTTTGGATGGAGAAGTTATGCAGATTCCTAAAATGTAGAGCGTAAGTTTATATTTTAGACTTTATGCAACTTTACGTGCTGTTGTCGTTCACGATGATATGGATTTTTTTATTATTTGTGACAGTGCATTTACCTTTGATAGAGACTTTAGGTAATAAGTCGGTGAGTATAATAAAACCTCTACTATTGGGTCAGATAATGAATTTATCGAGGTATCAATAAGAGCCAAACAACTGCAGGATATTGTTATACGGTACGAGTGTTAGACCCCTGACATCGGACTAGAGCAGAAGAAGACATGGAGGAGTGGGGTTAGTCAGTAAGTCTGTCACTCCTCCCACCCGGCCCTGGGCGGTATAGGTGATTTGATGATTTACCCCTCACAAAAAAAACATGACTCGAAATTATACCATTACGATACATGTGTACAAAGCTTCTTCTTTCACAATATAACATAAACAATCTAAAACAGCGATCTGTAGATAACATAAAAAAGGTTCCGTACGGGAATCAAACCCGGCACGATTGCCAACTGCTGTCAAGTTACAACTGAAATTGTTATATAAGTAACCTAGTAAGTAGTAGACCTAGTAAGATTGGTAGTGCCTAACCTTTCACACTTATTGTAAAGACAAAATTAAATCAATGTTAAAGTTTGCAAATGCCTATTATTTATAAGTTTTTACTTTGAATCCAAAAATCTGAATCGATTGTTCACTTTCTCGGCGTCTTAGGTTTCTTTCTGTTAAAGGAACGGGGGGAAAGGGGTTAGTCCGTCGACATTCCCTCCCGCCCCACCTTGGACGGGAGAAGTGATTTGATGATTATCGCCTCAAAAAAAAAAGTTTCTGTCAACGGCAACGTAACTACGTCTGGATTGACGACCATATTATACAAGGCAATGTGTATTTATAATGGGTATTAGGATTTGCTTATTGTGCCTATGAAATGTGACAATGAAATGAAATAAGTTTCCATATGAATAAAGCTGTATATTGAATTATAATAAAAGGTCTCGTCTGTACACATAACACATTTATACATGACAACTATTCACTAAGTCGTTATAAGGAGAAATATTAATACCGTATCCTAAATACATGAATTACAACAGGCTTAATATAATAATAAAGTAATAATACAATTATTGCATTTAACTAGTATCACCATTAAACGTTTCGTTCAACCCAATTAAATATTTTAGTAAATAAATTCACAACATTAATCAATTTCAAATAAACAAACGATGCTACCCTCAAAAAATTCACAACAAATACTTTAAATTAAAAACGCAATTTCAAATGCAAACATTTCATAAATCTGTAAAAAATTCAAGTGGCATTGATTACAATAATATTGCATGTAAACTTATCTGCTTTGTTATATCTAAGCTAAGCATTATACGCTACTTGGTCTGACGAAATACAAGTACATACACGATCACTGCAAGTTTACGATTTAGTTACAAAACTACAAAATTTGAGCTTTCCACGGTCACCGACGTGACTCGGTAATGTAAGAAGATAAGTAATGGATGCTTCAAAGTTACGATTACATACACTCGTGGCGGCTCTAGTCCGCTGATATTGAGCTCCTATTTTACAATAATTGCCCTTACGTAAGGCTACATACACACTACAACTAAACAACCAATCTTTGTCGATATGTAACTTGTTTTAATTGGGACCTGACGATGCAAGGAAAATAAATCACAACCCTTAGCTAATAGCGAACACACCTTTGGCACGCTCGGTCTGCTACAATTCGTGTTCATAATATTAATTTGGACTAGCAACGATCGAATACGAAACGAATACTGATTAGCTTTACATTAGAGGTTAAAAATGTTATCCAGTCACAAAGTTATCTATATTAAATGGCGCTAAGTTGGAGGAGCGCACTACACTTGCGCACTCCCCCTGACATCCACCTCGAGGGTTTATTCGTTCTCTACCACTCATCAAGGAAGCTCTATCGACAAATTAATTAGCCTAAATACTTGGTGTCAACTGTTACTGTGGTCACCTGTGTGATAACCACAGGCAAAATCTCCAGTCCGTCAAGTTGTGGGCCCAGTCCCCACTAGCTACCGAGCTGCCTACCCCAGTAAGTCAGGAGACGGCGTGATGTTCCTGAACACATCGAGCGAGGGCGACGTGGACCGCGCCAGGTCGGGGCACGGCGTGTTCGTGCGCGTCATGGACTCGAAGCGCTCGCGCATGGCGGCCACGTGACCTGCTATCACTACTTCTTTTCGTTCCTCCTTATCCTTGGCGTCAGTCGCACCCTCGTCTTCGACGGGCGGCCTGTCTGGCACCTCTATATCTGATAGCAGAGATACTTCTGACGATGCAGTGTAGTACATCTCACTGACGGGCTCGCAAGCCGCGTTCACAGGCTCCGTGTCGGAGGGGAAGGTGTCCGTCTCGTCGGTAGGTGGCGACACCAGCGCGTCGCTCCAGCGCTCGGCACGGTACGCCTCGATGGTCCGCAGCGACACCTCCGACGGACTGACGAGCTCGGCGTCGCACTCCACGACCTGTGCGACTTCACTCTCTATACCGACTTCACTCGTTGTCTCCAATACACTAACTACATTGCTACTCATCGTATCGACTACTTCGTCGACATTATCATCCTCCGGTGAGTCCTCCGCGACTTCGTCGTAGGTAGAAGTCCTCATGGTCTCGCACAGTCGGTTGATGGCGTCGAAGACATCCTTGAGGTCGCTGACGTCATCAGTGGGCATCATGGGCTCCTCGATGGGCAGCACGTCGAGGTCGGCGGCAGGGGGCTGGGCGGCGGCGGGGGGCCGGGCGGCGGCGGCGGGCAGCAGCGTGGCGGCCAGCGCGTTGGCCGGGCACAGCAGCGCGTGCGCCACCGACAGCAGCGCGGCCGCCGGGGCAGCCGCCGGCACCAGGTGCGCCGTGCTGCACGACCGCGCCGGCGCCGCGGGGGCTGGGGCCGGCGCCGGGGCGGGCTGCGCCACAGGAGTTGGCTGCTTGGCGAGGTCGGGCGGGGCGGAGGCGGGCGAGGCAGTGCGCGGGGGGGCGGACGCCCCCCGGGCTCGCTAGCAGGCGCTGGAGGTGCGCGTCCAGCCCTCGAGCGGCACGGACAGCGGGGGCGGCGGCGCCTGCGCCTTGCTCACTGTCACCACACAACGTACATTAGTATCCGTCACTAACGCAAATCCTAATCACTGTTCTCCCGACAAAACTAGTTCGTTCACAGACAGTTTAAGAAGCGTAAACACCTACTTATAAAAGTATTCAAAACAACAAAAACATTTTGAACAACGCAACTCTAGTTACAGTACAGTCGCCGTATCTTGGCGAGTCTGAAGTTAGCCCTTTGTCTGCGCAATGCATCTTTTAGGAGAAAAATTGTGTACTGCGCAGCTAATCGACTAACTTCAGACTCACCCAAATACGTCGGCGGTATTGTAACAAATATTCATCAATCAGTTTACGCTCCATTATTCGAGAGAACAGTTGTTGCTAAAATCAGGTGTATTATACATGTTATTAGGTTTTCATTTTCGCTGCATTATTAATTTGGTATTTAGTCACGTTTGTATAGCTAATATTCTAAACACATGTACTTCTACAAAAATACAAGTATCGAACGTTTGTGTTAGTTCCCCATACTAAATTCATGCAGGACATATCCCGTACTAATTCAGGCCAAGACAATGAACCCATTGAAATATCATAGTCATATATGTATGTATATATGTAACCTACAAACTGTATAAAAAAGCTTCACTAACATCTAGAATGCAGCTTCTTAGAAGCATAAATAGCATGTACGCTAATACGGTAGTTTCCAACTAGTCAAATTCAATATTTTTATCCAAATGTCAAAAACTATGCTTTTCTATGAAATTTGTATGAAAAACTGAGTTATGACGTCATAGTATTTTTGCGTCAAATAGCTTACTTATTTTTTAATAATTAGCTAAAAAATATCTAAAACCTGATCTATCGATCGATCGATGAATAAAATTTATTTTTCAATATTTTTTTGTATTAAAACGTCGAAGTAATTTATTTTGGACCTAGGAAACTACCCAATTGAAAAAAGGGATAAGTCATAGGACAGACTTCAACAGTCAAAGCCTATGTCAATCCCACACATTGACTTACAATGCCTTTGACTAGCGTTTGGGTGATTCTGCGAAAACCTAACTTTCATTCAATAAAACTATATCACCCCCACATTATCGTTATAGCAACAATATTATTAATCGATTACTTGTAAGCAGTGGTGCGATTTAATTTAATAAAATCATTATTTGTGTTTTAATCGTCAGAATCGTTAATTTTGGTTGATATCATTCATATTTATAAGTTAATGTGAAGAATCACCCGTTTACGCCATTCCTCTAGAGGAGGCAGGCATAGTTCGCAAACTAATTTAACACACTACAAACAAATTATATCTGGAATCTACAACTTCTGAATCTAATACCTAATTAAAAGCATCATAATATATCATGCGACGAATATTAGTAGGATGTATGTATCATGCAATGCTACATGCAGTGTTAAGAATGTTTTCAAAATGGCGGTAAAATGCTTGATAGAATAATTGAGAACTTACCCGACATGCGTCACATAGATGTACACCACAATACACTACACTTTATTATTAGATACGTACTTATAAGAACTACATTAACATTTTCATTTTATACCTTTACTATGAAACAAATATCTAGTATTTTCAAACAAATTTCTACTTTATCGTAAAAGAAATACTGTCTACATTGCTATTGTCTACACACAAGTAACATACGACAAATTAATATTGTGCAAATCTTTATCTTTATAATTTGAAAAGAAAGAAACGATAACTTATTTACTACGAATATGTTTATAAACTGAAAAACAACAATTCGAGATATACTTTTAACTAATTCCAATTTTAAATTTAAACTACAATAACACAAAGACGTTCACAGACAAGCAGTTACGACATTGAATGTTAGGACAATAAAAATACAGGACCACTGATTGGTAATTATTACTCTTTTATTATCCAAAAAATAATAATATAAATACTATGAGCGTCGTACACATCACTATCACAATACCGGTTGCGTTTCAATACATAAAGCGTATATTGCCCATCACTAAATTTCTTAACTGCAACATTTTTAAAAATTGACTTTTGAACACAAAGCTTGCCACAACAAAAAATAAAATTTTATTTTAATTGAAAAGGCTTTATTTCTTTATGAACGACGGAGGCGCATTATAGTAAATTTAACTTAAAAAGCATTTGATATGCGACATTCAACCAGTCAGCAGTTAAGCAATTTACTGAGCAACTATTGAGTGAAATAAAAATGGGCATGAAGCGATACAGGTACAATAATAGCATAAACAATTTGCAGTAATGGCACCTCACTATATTATAAAAAAAAAATAGAATCACAACATAGTTCTTACTTCTTCGCTAAATCGTGCAAGCGACGAAACATTAATACATAAACTAATTTATAATTATAATAAAAAATATGCAATTACTTTATATAAATATTCTTAATGACTCAACGCGATACATTGGTACAAGTCCTAACGTAATAATTAAACTAAATAATGAACAAAACACTCCGTGTATAAAATAGTCTTATATAGTATAATGAAAATTTTAAATTTGGTATATCGAATGAATTAATTGATTACGAATGATTTGCATTGGTGTGTGGATATAAATCAAAATGGGTATGAATCAAAATACTGACAAGACTTGCATTTAAGAATAGCTTAGTGGTATTAAATACTGTTGAAATACTTTTGTAGGAAATATATTGGAAAATTGTGAAAGAAATCTAGTCCTCATTGTATTTAAAGCCTAGCTTTAAAGAAAAACGTCTCATTGATTGATTCCATAGGCTTATATTTTTAACTAAGGACTAATTTTACAATGGTAAGATAAAAGTTATCTGGGGAATAATTATGGTGCTGTCGCGTCAGAATGTTTGTATAAGACAGTGACAGCCACAATTTTATTCCTCGCATAACATTTATTTGATTATTGTAAAATCAGCCCTAAATCAAAGAAATCAAGATACTTAAACAATCAGAATGTTATAATCTTCCCCAGAATACATAAAGAGGCAAGTCAAACCAGCATTTTGATAAACCAACGCCAACAAAACGGTTAGTAACCACGAAACGCCATGATGAAAAAAAAAACAATAATGAATAATGTCCACGACCATTATTTTGAACTCCATCAAAAACAACCAACCAATATGAAACCAATGCATTCCCGGAATGACATATTAAATGCAAACTTTGGAAAATATACGTGTACTTTTAAATACGAAAATATAAAAAAAAAATGTACTATAAAACGAACAATTCGGAGATAAAATAATCTGTAAGCATAGAGTTTAACTAACTATACTACTATGTGCAGTGTTTAGCGATGAAAAGTATTATTCAGTACAAATAAATATGGGTTAGGCGCGCATTTGTGATAATAACTTCAATAGAAATAAAAATACTCCATACATTTTAAATGTATTGAAATACCATTATAAAAATGAAGAGTACGTCCTGAATCACGAATCAGTTATATTTAAGAACATTATTTATGCTTCAAGTATAGTTTGAAAGAGTTATATTACCAGAACAAATCGATTTGCGACGTATTAAATCAACAAGTGCGCGCTAACTTTATTCAATTTCAGTCTCCAATAAGACACTTAACCATACGTCATGCGTTCATGCACGTAAAAATAAACATTTTAATAACAAAAATAATACTTTATCATAATAATATTATAACAATTGTATCTTCAAGATAATAATAAATTTAGTACTAATAATTATTCATGACTAAAATAACTTTTTTTACTTAGATATTATGCGTGTCATTTTTGACTTGTACCTATGGGACTTACTACATAAGCCTACATAATCTAGATAAGCTAGGTTACTATAATATGACTAAGCAGAGCATGCTTGTGCGTGTTGCTCCATAAATATCTACTAAAACATATCGATACTATTTGTAATCTTTGTTTTCATTTTAAGCAGTATCGATACTCGATAGGATATATCGATGTTCAAATGCGCATCTCCAGTCGGCAATTATACATATTGTAATAATTGCACGTATTGTCATGTCGATATGGTCTATCGAACGTTAATTGAAATACTTGATTTCTCGGAATTGAGTAATTCCTTTTAATACAATGACATTTATTATTAATAATAATATGCCGCTATATGATTTGATCAAATCTTAAGAAACTGTTAAACTCGAGACACCAACATATAGGTACCAAATGTACTAATTAACAACTAAATGACAACACTTGTTTGAATTTGATCCGAATAACATTCTAACAAAGTCTTTAGTCTATAGTTCTATACCGAACAACTTTATAACCGATCGGTCAATAAAGTTTTTGACTAGTCGACCGACTAAAGTATCAAAACTTTATCGTATCGACCTTTAAGCTCCAGTGGCGCCCTCTTGGTATAACCGTAAGTTCCCTGGCACCGTTTCACGCGTACTTACCGGCGACGGTGGCGCTGCTGTAGCCTTTGGCGATCCGCAGGAAGGGGTCAGGCTCTGGGAAGCGCGACGGATGTTGGAACAGGTCTGCGAAGCGAGCCTCCAGGTCCAGGGAGCGCATGGACGAGCCACGAACCGGTGGAAGCGGGGCTACACCCTCGTCGCCATTCATACTCTGTAAGTTATACAGGATTTCATTAGTTGGTGTTACAATAAATTGTAAATGTGTGGTCCTGTTATGATTCGTGCAAACAACGTACAAAGGAAAAAGAGCGAAAGACAAGGCACTGCCTAGGTATGTAGCCTCGATGTGTCTCCTATATCTATAATAATATTATAAACAGGTAAAATTTGTAAGTTGATCCGTCTGCTCGTTTGCTTCCTATTCCATAAAAGAGTCATGGTACCGGCCCGAGTTAATCGAGAGACAAATCCTTCTAAAGTATTTCCAAGTAAGCTTACAGTTTGTCGGTGGTGCGGCGGCGGGGGCGGCGGCGGCTGCTGCGCGTGTCTCGCGGGCGGCGGCGGGGGCGGAGCACCCGGGGGCGGCGGTGGAGCCCCGGGCGGTGGCGGCGGACAAACGCCAGGGGGCCGGAGACCGCGGGGCGCTCGTAATGTACCTGTGAAGATATTTATTCATTAATTTGAGCAACAAAATGGCACTTTCTAGACCAACCAAATTTCCGTCGAAAAATGCAATAAAAAATGACGATGCAAAATGCAAAGTAGGTAAACATGGTAACCAACTGAATTGACTGCACGGTTGACGCAACGGTGGCTGGGCAACTGACTGTCGTGCAACGTGTCGAAGATTCAATTCCGCATGGTAACCACTCTCTGTGTTATCTACAAATTGTTGTTCTGGGTCAGGGTGTGATGTGCATGTGAAATTGTAAACGCACCCACAACACAGGGGGTTGCGGGGTAAGCGCAATGAGGCACTGCGACCTCGGCCCAGAGCAGGAGAAGGAACAGGGGGGTTTTTAGTCAGTAAGAGTCTGACACTCCCCCTCCCGCTCGGCCCTGGGCGGGTGAAGTCATTTGACGATTTTCCCCTCACAAAAAAAAAACACGACACAGGAGAAAATCTAAGGGGGCAACGTTTTTTTTAAGTATACTTTCTAGGAATAGCAAGAAAAATATCACCAACATGAACTGACTCCGTAAATCTATTCTGTAATAGGCACTCAAACTGTCGGGACATGAGTATTATTTTACCTAGACATTACACACATGTACGTGAACAGTTGATGGTTTAATTACATACGTGTTAAGGAAATAGTACTGTCGTAATCTCATGTGCAATGAATCGTAAAGCCGTTGTACGTCATAAATTAAAACATGTTCATTATTATTACGTTTAATATTAAACAAACTTAAATAGCAGTAGTCGAATCTATAGATGCTTTAAGTATATTTATTAAGAGCTGTGTACCACGGTGTCACTCGTTTATAGCCTGTGTCCACCGGGGATAGTGTAACTTTATAATATAACTAGCGGACGCTCGCGGCTCCGTCCGCGTTGATGTCGATTTTACAGTTTTATTTTAAATTTTCTCTACGTACAAACCCCTGTCTGGACCTCCACGAATAATTCAAAAATGATTTTGATATTGAAAGGCAGCGTTGAGTTATAACATTACAACAAAAAATGGCATTGATATTTATATATAAACATGTAATATGCTAAATTTTAAGAATCCAATAATATATTTAATCTAGTGCGCGTTTGTTTCACGACTAGGCTTATTTATCCCGAACTCTCAAATGCCAAACGAAAGTCACCACTGAATCCATACTTTAATACTGCCCTACATCCACCAAGATCGCAAAGATAGAGGTGCCATCTTATATTTGTAACTAAGAAATACTCAATGTCTTGTTAAGTGACTACATATCAAAATAGATGCCACTGTCCTGGTGCTGCAGATCTAAAGAACTGCTTCAATAATGGGTATAAATAACCAGTCATGTGAATTTAAATAACGCTTATAAATATATTTAAAGTGTATCAATTAACTAATAACTTTTATTTATAGTTTAATAAGTGGCCGTTACTATAATTTTTTGGATGACAGTCGTTTATCATTCTAACGCATTATTACATGAGAGCATGGCAACACCAGTCTTTTAAATTTTGATGTTGACAGATCACACGATGTTTGTTAATTTGAATAAGTTTTATCTTTTTTTTAATTCCGGAGCCCTTCCTGGCAATTAAACCCTATCTATACAACTGTAAAATAATTTGACTGTATGGGTTTAAGGGTCAGTTTATTGGCTGGAATTAAAAACAGGCTAAATCAAAATCTATGTATAAATATGGTGATACATATACTATAGGTAGGTATGAATATAGATATAGTATGCATTCGGTCTGGTTACAAAATCCAGAGGGCGCTTCAAATATGTGTGCCAAAAAAATACGCAAGAGGGCTCTCTTCTACTCCTTTATTACTTTACTCTTTGCTTTATAATATTATAAAGCTGTAGAGTTTGGTTGTTTGTTTGTTTGAAAGCGCTAATCTTCGGAACTACTCGTTCGAATTGAATAATAATTTTAGTGTTTGTTATTCCAGTTATCGAGGAAGGCTATAGGTTATAAAACATCACGCTACGATATGTAGGAGCCGAGCAGCGGGTGAAACCGCGTGACAGTAGCTAGTAAATAAGTAATATAAATTACACAGTTCACTTTTTCTAAAATAGTTAAAAAAGACTTACCGAAATGTGAAGCCGGGTTCTTTGTACCAATGGGTGGATTAACGGGAGCTGGTGGCAGGTTGAACGGTCGGCCACCAGCTGTTTGTGGAGACGACGGCGATGCCGGTGGAGACCTGAAATATATTTTACGGAAACATGATGAACATTAACTCCGCTGTTTCGTATTAGATCCAACTAGTAACGTGATTTTTGAACCACTAAACTGTAAAATTAGTCATGAAGCTAAGAAACAACGAACACAGAATGATAATAATGTTTTTAAAATTGTCAAAATATTGTTGCTAAACTAAATTTGGTCTTATTTTTTTAAGATAGTTCTAACATGAAATCACAATGCTATTCATAGACCAAGAACAATACAACGAAATCGGCTTTACAGTGTAAAAGCGCGCGAAACAGTTCTTTTTCGCTCTGACAGTCCCGACCTAGTAGTATAGGAGCTAGCAACGTTTTCGAGAAAGAATTTTAGGTCAGCTGATTTTGTGATATGTCGTCCTTCTTGCACTTTCGGTTAGAGTCTGAGCTATCTGGCTGGCGGTAGCGGTTGCGTTCTTTAGTGCGCATCCTACCTGTCCAGGTAATAATCCTGGATTTTAAAAACATTTTAGAGGGCAAAATACTACGGCCCCTGACCAATATTGATACATACGGATAAACAGGCAGGGGGTGACTGGCAAACTCAATTAATGGGCCCCCGGAAACGGCCGCTAGCATGTAGCGACACGGAGGCAACATACGTTGAGCTGCTTGGGGAAGGAGAGGCATTCCACGGCTATTATAATATATGCACAATGAAAAGTCATTTACTTTCGTAATGGTTCTCTGTATCATTCTCAACTTATTCTGCAACTGACTCTCTCGGACTACTAGCATTATACTGCAATACTTTTCATGACTTTTTCATTTTAATACATGACTTAACAATCGAATTAATATCTGGCAAATTTATTTTAAGTATTTTTTATCTTTAAATAACATAATATTAAAATTACAGACATTATAAAATACTTTGAAATTTTAATAAAAAAAATAATAAAAAAACGCGTATGGCACATAGTTAGCATTGTCAAAAATGTCTGGCAATAAAAAAAGTGTTTCAGGTAAACTTATTTAAAAACAAAAAAATAAAAATTACGCCTTCTAAAATGTTTTTAAAATCCAGGATTATTACCTGGACAGGTAGGATGCGCACTAAAGAACGCAACCGCTACCGCCAGCCAGATAGCCCAGACTCTAACCGAAAGTGCAAGAAGGACGACATATCACAAAATCAGCTGACCTAAAATTCTTACTTTCCAAACGTTGCTAGCTCCCGTACCATAGAGAAGGGCGCGTTAATAATGGCGTAGGTTTGCCCGCTCTCGCTGAGTAGGCTTTTATTCCTATCAATAGGTCCTTATGTACTTATCTTAAAGGTCGATCGAGTCGATTCGTGCAAAAAAAAATATATTTTAAAATTGCGCTGAAGTTTTAAAAACTCCATAAACTTACCTAGGCACCCTCATACTCTGTGTTCGTCCAGCGATCTTGCCGTTAGTGATCAGTTTCTTAGGCGGGGGCGAAGGCCTGGTGTCGTTGTTGGGGGCCGGGGCTAACTGCGGAGGCTTGGGTGCTAAGTTCGGCTTGCCGTGGCTTACACGAGGCCTATCGCAGAGATCTGATGTCGAGAGTGAAGATGCTGGCGCTGGAGTCGGTGATGATGATGATGAGAGGGAGGTCATACTCCCACCTGTAAGAATTGAATATATTGTTTAAGATTTTATTGTTTGAAGCTATTCGAAAAGTAGAAACCCCACACTAGACATTTCTGTAAGTCGTGGGTGGTCGTTTAATAATAAGTTCACACATCACACCCAGATCCGAATCAACAATTTTTGCATCACACAAAGACGTTGTTTCGTTGGGAATCGTCAAAATCCGTTGTCACGTTGCACGGCAGCCAGCTGACCAGTCCGCATCAACCGTGCAGTCACTGCTTTTTACATCGTCTATTTATTTCTGCAGAAAGCAGATAATCGGCATTACTATTGAGCCATTTTTGTTTTTCAAACTGAAGTTAGGTGAGAATATAAGATTCAAAATACAAAACCTGACTCAAAGGTTCAAACTTGGAATAAAGAGAAATCTTTTGTAATAAGGGTCGCACAGAAAACTGGCGTAAAACAACTACAGCGTTGTGTATCGGCGGATGTGTGAGTTTAACGTGGGCCGAACCCTTCTCCTCCGTCAATCTCTAAATCTCCAATTCCCAGGAGGTCGGCAACATACTCGTAACTCCACTGTTGTGTCCAAGGGCGGCGCTGATTGCTTACCATCAGGTAATCTATCTGCTCGTTTGCCGACCTATTACATAAAAAGGGTGTCGTTGATTAAGTTGTAAGATAATTTTAATGTCATATAGACTAATTATAGACTTCAGTGTATTATATTTCACTCATTATACTTTATTCCACTCACCCAATGCACCCTGTCCAGTCGCATGCAGCGAGCTCTTATTCCTATGCAGTGTGGAGGCGACATGAGCATTGATCACTTGTTCCGAGTTCTGCTGTTGAAGATTACTGATGCGGTCCAGCACCGAGTTAGTCGTCAGCACGGAATCTGATGAACTCTGCAATAGATTATGAAAAAGTTTTATATATAACCAATATAGTTCCACATAACCACTTAAATATTGATTGGAGTATGGAGTAAAAGTTAAAAACTTTTCAATCGTGGCAATTCTAGACACAATAGAACGCCGTTCGCTTGGGCTTTGATGCATTAAGATATTTACAATTATTTTGCCTAATTTAAACAATACGATAAGACGTATATTATATGAGAAATATTCCTGAATAAATAAGGGCATTGGTCAACAACGAGTGGACTAATTTTGCCAATTCTTTAATTTTTTTTGTTGTGTTTTTTATAGTCATAAGACCCTTTTGCGAAAACTTATAGTAAATTCGGTTAGTAGCGACCTTTTCGTCTTAAGCTGTATAAATATAATTTGTATACACAGTGCTTAGCAGGAGTCGGCCGCAAGTAATAGAAGTATATAAATTAAGAACTTCTGAATCGATTTCAATATGCGTGCAATTTAATGAACTTGTTCCAAACTCAGAAACATATTAAAATTATAGTATACCTCCGTAGATTGACGTAGATCTACCCAGAAATTATCATAACATCAACCATTACCACTTGACGACAAGAAATACCATACTCAACAAAGAACGACCATAAACAACCTATCCACCTACAACCTTTTTTACATAAACTTCCTATATCTATAAATAAATAAAACAATAGCTTTTTATGTGTCATCTGTGACCGCGGGAAACAAAGTCTATGCTAGATATAAGTTGTTTATGACCTGCATTGGCTGTGAGCCAGGGAAGGCAGGCACGAAGTTACTTTATGTAGAGAATAACTAACATGGGAGGGCGTTTGTGTATTATAGGATCTGTTCAACGCGTGAGGGAACAGCGTTGGGTGTGTTATCATGAACCATGTTTTTGAAATAAACTTTGTTTAATGATTGCAATTCTTCATGAGCTATCCAACTGAAAGACGTATATTATTCTATTTTAAATTCAATACAAAGGAACCTGATATAGTTAATGTCCATATTTCCAGAGCGACTTTTTAGTCTTCATAACGAATCTTATTTTTTTTTTTTATTTAGCTACTAATGGCCAGGCCCTTGACCGCTATCATGCCTGGTCGTAAGCAATGATGCCACCTATGATAGAGCATGCCTATACATAAACTAACTATTCACCCTATTATACCCTTCGTAAGCGCGGGTCTGCGGTCGGCGAGTAAGGGCAGCTCGCTGCCCGACCAGAACCAGACCCGAGCGTACGGCGCCAATAGCCAATAGATCACCACAGACGGGGCCCTATAGGGTTGATGTTCAGCTGGGGTTGCGGGGTAAGCGCAATGAGGCACCGCGACCTCGGCCCAGAGCAGGAGAAGGAACAGGAGGGTTTTTAGTCAGTAAGAGTCCGACACTCCCTCCCGCCCGGCCCTGGGCGGGAAAAGTCATTTGATGATTTTCCCCTCACAAAAAAAACCCTATTATACCCTTCGGGGAACACAGACCCCGGCAATGAATTCAAACTCTTAGCGGTTCTTATAATAAAACTGGAGACGAACCGCTTTCAATTCAGGCGAATTAATTTTTTTAGGAACCTTTCTCGTATTTTGGCCTCAGCTACACGACTAGCTATATTTTTTAAACTTGAACTTGACAAATATTGATACGTTTTCACACATAATTACAACAAATTAGGCTTTATTTTGTTATTTATTATATTATGTTATACCACAGGAAAATTGTTCTTACGTCAGCAACCGCATTCCAAAATTGAAATTAGGTATCGCCTGATGTGTTGTCACGGAAAATCCATCCAAAACTACAATATTTTCTGTAACATACTGATCGTGGAAAACACTAGTATAAAATCGACTAGTTCGCCATAAGTTGGATTTAAACCTTTAACGTAATTTAAACAATATTAACTACTTACGACCCTGTTGATACTAAATTTCTTCGCTATTTAATGAATATTACTATACGTATAAACCTTCCTCTTCAATCACTCTATCTATTAGAAAACTATTTTAAATAATCAAGCATACATAGGGACATAGGGACATAGGGACAGAGAAAGAGACTTCGTTTTATACTACGTAGTGATTAAAGTTAGCGGAAAATTATTACATGTTATTATAAAATAACATGTAATAATTTTCTAATATTGTAATTATTTTATAATAACATGTAATAATTTTCCTAATTAAAAATAGAAATAAAGGAAAACTTATAAATAAAAACAGAATGGATCACACAGTTGAAACGTGTTAATTTTAAAACTTTAAAAAGAAAAAGCCTATGGATTTTATTTATTACACACGCACACACAAGGATAATTTTGCGATTATTTCTATATGGGATATCGATTGAAAGTTATAATGCGATTGTAAATAAACAACAGTCTGATATAATTGTTATCTATGTGAGTCAGGCGTTGCGAAAGTGACTGTCCGACAAAGTCTGCCTACGTAAATGTGAAGAGGTCACATTCAATATGAGAGCGGATAAATAAAAAAAAATAACAAACTTTCAATTGACAGTTCGAATTTTAAAAATATTTATGCGCATTGCGGCACTTTATGGTAAATCTATGGTTATTGTTTAAACTTTTTTTTGTAAATAAAAACATGGACTTTGATTACAAGATGAGGATTAAAATAAATGATTTCAACAGCACCAGATACTAGGAAAAGAATGAAGAAACCTCTAAAATAACTCTTGTTACGTTAAATTTCAATAATTTATTATTTACTTATTTTTTTTTTCTATCATTAGTAGGTACGTACTTACTTGAAAAAGGTTATCAACTAAAGTTATATACAAATTACAAATGAAGATTAAGCTGCGTTCACGCATTATCTGTTTCATAATAAGGACAACTGAGTTTTGATTTTTTTTAACAACAGGAACTAAAATGTTACGCTACAAAATGTTTTTCATTAAAAACATTACTTGGCGTGTATGAGGCAGATGGAGAGGTACACAAATTCATATTTTATCGCTTCATTAATATTTTACAGATAGGCTTTTCCCAAGCGTTAATCCCTGTTGTAACGAATGGCCTCCGTGTTGTCTAATCAGCAATTTGCTTCAGATTTACTTTATGAATATAAATGATATTTGTCAGGAAGTGTTTTGGTAGCAAATAGGCTACAATTTTCAAGCTTTGCAATAAAACATAATTATAAATATTTCCATGTATGTTTAAGACGATTGCAATCTGTTTGGGCGGAAAACCTATAATACCAACTACTCAACAAACTACTTATAAATTAATAAGTAGTCCAACTTTTAATAATAAATCATTGAAACTCGTTTTTCTGACGACTCTAAAATGAAACATAAACAAAAAGGCGGTGTAATATTTTTTAATGAAATAAAGACGTCATACGCTTTATTTAATAAAAAAAAAGAATCTATTGTTTAGTACGTGAGAACTTATAGCGAATGAAACTGGTTTATACCCATACTAATAAGGTAGAGAATCCCACGACAAGCAAAACATGTGATATTCGCATCGTTATCAATTAAAACACGCTCGCAGTCAGACCTAACCCAATCCAGCCAAACCCTGCAACTAATTACCAGTCCTAACACAACCACACAAGACAAGTTTTCCGGTGAATCATTATAGTTGTAACTAATGACTCAGTGATGACTCAAATGATTCCTTATTGACATGGTTTGCAAGAGAAACACAGGTTACATCTATATCAAGGTCTGTTGTGTGGTAATGGCGTTGAATCACCTTAACTGTGACCTATGGTTGGCCACAGACTATATACCAGGAACAGAACACTTCCATGTAAGTTAATTCCGTGTGATATTGAATGAAATGAATCAGAAAACGTAAGCGGAACAGCTGAGCAATTGAAGGTCCTGCTGTTCGACGAGAGCATAATTAATTGGAACTACAGATAGATGTAAATGTGGGTTGCGTGGGTAAACGCAATGATTTCCCGCGGCCTGGTTGTGAGTAGAAGAAGGGGTTGGCTTTCAATCGGTAAGAATCTGACACCCCTTCTCGCCTCAACTAGGGCGGGAAAAGTAATAGTTTGATTTTTAAACGTAAATTCAAAGATTAGATAAATTGATTCAGAAATACCTGGTGCGTCTTATATTTAGGTACTTATTTATTAGAATAGTTTTACAAATAAATTTCACTTTTGATCAGAGTATAGTTAAAAGCGACCTTCATATGCAAGATACGCCGCCGAAGACCATTTCAAGCCATTAGGAAAACTCGTTCTTCTATATTTCATATTGAAATATTATACTTGTTTATGACTACTCTGAATGATTACTCCAGCGGATATAGAAAAATAAATAAAAACAAAGGGGCAATGTGACAACAGAAATAGGTGTTGCAGGCGTGGCGTCGATGCAAAAGATGTCGCTGTCACTATCGCAAGAAGTCATCAAACTTAGACACATTATCAATGCAATGCAGAAATATATGATAAAGAAAGCTTAGGTAAGAAAACTATTAGTACTAAGGTAGCAGAAAATCGAGGAAAAAATGCCAAAAAATTAAACAAGCACTTATAATCGGCTTATGTACACAATATTTGTGAGTCAGGAACTATTTACGTGGCTATTATCTTAATTATTTTATCAAAGAAAAGATAGAGGAACGTGAAATTAAATAGATTCTTCAATGTTGTTGATAAGTCTAATAAGTTAACACTTATGGTAAAGATATTTTAGTATCTAATTCTTATGAATCACCATTTTTGTACTGAATGTATTTCTGGAAGTTTTACGATATTTGAAACCAATAAGTATTTATTGATTTTTAAGCTAATTTGCAGGAATGGCCGTTAATTTAAAAAAAATCGTCTGGTTGCAGTCTGTACAATTAAATATACATAAGTAACATAAAGCAACGTAAGAACGATAGGTTCCATAAATTTTCACATACCTACGCACAATACTGCGTCATTTGGGGGCCCATAAATGTCACAAACAATGTAGATCAGAAAAGACACAACGTTAGAGAGGTACAGAACAAACATCAGAGAAAATGT